GGAGGGCCGCTGCTCGGTGCCTGGGGGCCGCTTTCCGGGCCACCTGATGGACGTCAGCGGTCCGGGGACCCTGTCTCAGAGCTACCAGTATGAGGTGTGTCTGATGGGAGGCTCAGGGACCAGCGAGTTCAAGTTTCTGAAGTCCATTACACCCAACCATCAGGGGGCTATGGATATTGTAGAGATAAACCCCAACTTTGCTAATGGCTGTGGATTCAATTAGGAATCTGTCGATTTTTCAGAGCATTCAGGATAAAGGTTAGTTTTTTCTAAATATTCTGTCACCACTATATTCTTTGGTCCATATAGAATTATTTAGTTGTTTGCTGATCTTATTTTCCTAGGCAAGGAGATTAGAAATTTTCTTTAGGTATATCCTCATATTTAGTCTCCTTTTATCATTTTTATTTTATGGGTACAATAGAACCTTCAGTTTTACTCATTACTAAAAAGTCTCAATTATTTGTTTAAAAATAGCAATTTTCAACATCAAATTCTATTGATTTGAAGATGTCCTCAGCTCCATTCTCTGTTTGATTGTTGTCCAGACACTTTTTCTAAATGTTTTATTTTTAGAAGACAAGCATGATACAAATATAATGAATTCTTAGTACATCTTTTGTTTAATCTGATATTATGCTTACCTGTCTTGAATTTTTAATGAAGAAATGTCTGCAAAACTTGCATGTTTTTTTCTCAGTAGTATTAAATAGGAAAGACTACAGTTCCTCCCCTACTTAAAGGTTTTTCTGCTCTTTGTATCAACCTTTAGTATATAGTATACATCAATACTATTGAAAGATTATTAAATTATCTCAAGATTTTAAGAATAACAATAGATATCTTTTGTGGTGTCTATCTAGCCCACCTTATCTTTCTGGAAACTTCTCTTTAGCAGAGGTGTACTGTTGCATCCATGTTTATTTTATATGACCCATCTCCCTCTGTGATTTTGGACAATTAAGCAAGGTGGTAGATATTGCTGATCCAAGCTGTGCCAACTGATTCTCTCTTTAAAAAAAAAAAAGGTTTTAGGGCTGGCCAGTTAGCTCAGTTGGTTAGAGCTAGTTGTTACGACATCAAGTTCAAGGGTTTGGATCCCCACACCAACCAGACATCTCTCTCTCTCTCTCACACACACACATAAACATACACACACACACACACACACACACACACACACACACACACACACACACGGCTTCAAAAACCAGACTAATATAGTCTTTCTATTAAGGGCTTAACAACATGATGTCATGTTTGACTGAATACATGAAAAAAGTACAGAAAGTCAATCCACTGAGAGATAAGAAGGAAAGAGATGCCAAAAGAGGGACCTTGTTACAGATTTCCTGTTGCAGATTTTCCATTTCCTCCCAAGTCTGCTTTCTCCCTTGGGTTTTTGGAAACAAATAAGTGCTCTATTAATAATTTTTCCTCTAATTAAGATAGCCAAGTGAGGCTATTTTCCTATTGTTAAAAGCATGTTTAAATATTCTTGCACGATTGGCAAGGAGACCTTACTATTAATTTTGAGTTTTTTTATTGTGGCTTTTCATATTAATGTAATAATATTTAAGATCAA